GATGGAGTCAGAGCATTCTGTCTCCATGTGGAGACATCCAGGTAATCTCAGGCAGTCTGGAAAGGTCTCCCAGGAAATAAATTCTCTTATTTATTTATTTTTTTGATCTTTTTGAGACAAGGTCTCCCTCTAGCCCCAACTGACCTGGAACTTGCTATGTAGACCAGGCTGGCCTTGAACTCACAGAGATCTGCCTGACTCTGCCTCCCAAGTGCTGGGATTAAACCACACCTGGCTGTGAAAATAAACTTTTGTTCATTCCCTCTATTAGTTACTTTTCCTGTCTCTGTAATGAAATTCCTGACAAAAGCAACTTAATGAAGGAAAAGCTTGTTTTGGCTCACAGTTTAAGGATATAGTTCACGGCAGGAAGGGCATGGCAGCAGTGGTGTGAGGCAGCTGGTCATATTGCATCTATAGTAGAGAGGTGAATGATGATCCGTTCACTTTCTCCTTTCTATTCAGTCTGGGAAGGGATGGTACTACCCACATTCAGGGTGGGTCTTCCTTCCTCAGTTACACCTCTGGAAAGGCCCACCCTCACAAATAAGCCAAGAGGTGTACTTCCATGGTGATTCTAAATCCAGTCACACTGACAATTAAGATGAACCATGACACCCCTACCTCCCTATACCATGGAACATTGCCAAGAATCATAGAGGACCCATAGCTGCACTGGGTGAATAAAGAGTAGCCCAGACTTCCCCACATGAGCCAAAGCGTGTGCCCATCCTTTCTTACTGGTACCGCCTGACCTCAACAGAAGTTCAGGCCTGGACCTACATCCGCTTTCCCTCACATGGCTTGAGCAGGGGTGATTCTAGGAACCTATTCAAGCCTCTGTTTGCTCCACGGGAAAATGAGATGACCAATTCTGTCTCAGAGGTTATGAACACTGATGGGGAGGTGACTGGGGTGCCTGAACAGGGTGGGCTTCAAAACAAGGGATCAAACTGGGAGTGAGATTTGGCGGTTTGTCCATAGAGGTTGGATGAAGATGAGGTTCAGAGAGGCTCAGCTGAACAGGAACCCACCCTTGCCATCACTTTCCCTGGGATTCCCTAGCACCCCCTTGTGACCACCTCTCCCAGTCCAGGATCCAGTGGAGTCACTGCAGCTTGACCTGTCTATTTGTCTTGTTTGTAGACTGAAGCTCCTCTGCTGATCCGGCCCTACCTGGCAGATATGACGCTCTCTGAAGTTCATGTTGTCATGACTGGAGGCTATGCCACTATCGCTGGCAGCCTGCTGGGTGCTTACATCGCCTTTGGGGTAGGTAGAAGCTTCCTCTGTTTGACTATGCCAAGGCCTTGAAACCAGCTTTGTGGAAGACCCACATGTTCCTGGTCACAGCAGCCACCAGATGTTCCCTCTCTTGTTGGAAGTCCAGCTTTGCTTGAGCAAGGCAAGCCTGCTCAGGCTTCTCACATGGCCACTGGGGCAGATCCCAGAACTCCCTTTACTAAGCACTTACTATGTATCAGGCAATTTTTTGGGGTGTTTTAATATCACCATTTTATAGATAAGCAAATTGAGGCTTGGAGAACAAATTAATGTCTAAAGATCCGAGCCCAGAGCTATCTGACTCCAAAATGCATGCCCACTTCTTCATAGTCCCACATCTAAGCTGTCCCTTAGGATCTGTCCTATAACTCTCTACAAACTCTCTCTCTCTCTCTCTCTCTCTCTCTCTCTCTCTCTCTCTCTCACACACACACACACACACACACAAATACTGTGGACTTAGGTACTCTCTTAGGTCCTAAATCATTACTATGCAACATAACACTTTCAGAGGTCCAATTTTAGAGATACAAACTGGGCTCTTAATTCAGGCTATTGCATGTGCCGAAAGGATTTTTCTTTTTCTTTTTCTTTTTTTCTTTTTTTGGCCTTTTTGAGACAGGGTCTCCCTGTAGCCCCAGTTAACTGCCCTGGAACTCACTATGTAGACCAGGCTGGCCTTGAACTCACAGAGATCCAACCTGCCTCTGCCTCCGAAGTGCTGGGATTAAAGGCATGTGCCACCATGCCTGGCTTGCAGAGAGGAATTTTTAATGTGTCCCTGATAGAGTGCCTGGTAATAATGCTTTATGAAATACTGTGTACCTATTTGTGCTTTCACATACAAAGCTTCAAAAAAATTTTTTCTCTTTAATTAGCAAAGATATCCCTAGTTATGTAAGTAAATGTTTTTGTTTTTTGCTTTGATGTTTTTTAAAAATATTTTATTATATGTATATGAGTATACTGCCTGCATGTATGTGAGCACACCCGTGTCGTGCAATGCCGTGGAGGTCAGAAGAGGGCTCCGGATTCCCCTGGAACTGGAGTTAAGGATGGTTCATAGCTTCCATGTGGGTGCTGAGAATTGAACCCGGGTCCTCTGCAAGAGCAGTCAGCGCTCTTAACCACTGAGCCATCTCTCCAGCACCTGTTTTGGTGTTTTTGAGACAGGGTTTCCCTGTATAACCTAGGCCAGCTTCCAGCTAGCTATGACCCTCCTGCTTCAACCTCCCCAAGGCTAGGATTACAGACATGAGCCACCACACTCAGTTTATATAATGCTATGGTTTGAACTCAGGGCCTCAAGCATGCTAGGCAAGCACTCTACCAACTGAGTTATGTCCCAGCCCCACGAATAAGCTGTGTTTTTTAAAAAATATGCATCAAATACTATTTTTTTAAAAAAATATTTTATTTTCTGGGTGTGGTGGTGCATGCCTTTAATTCCAGCACTTGGGAGGCAGAGGCAGGCAGATTTCTGTGAGTTTGAGGTCAGCCTGGTCTCCATAGTGAATCCAGGATAACTGGGGCTACAGGCAGACCCTGTCTCAAAAAAACCAAAAAAAAAAGATATTTATTATTTTTATTTTATGTGTATGTGTGTATTGCCTGCCTGTAGGTAAAGGCACCCGTGTCATGCAATGCCCACAGAGGACAGAAGAGACTGTGGGATCCCCTGGAACTGGAGTTACGGACAGTTGTTAGCAGCCATGTGGGTGTTGGGATTCGAATCTGGGGCTTTTGCAAGAACAGCCAATGTTCTTAACTGCTGAGCCATTTCTCCAGCCCATGAATAAGGTTTTTAAACCTAAACTGAGTGTGGCAGTATACAACTATAATTTCATTATTTGGGAGGTAGAGGTGGGAGGATCAGGAGTTCAAGGCCAGTTACAGAGACTACTGGAGACCCTGTCTCAAAACAAACTGAAAAACAAAAATGCTCTCTCATCGTTTCCAAGCCTAGTAAGCTGCTCTGGAGGCTGAAGTAGGAGGATCCTTTAAGCCTATAAGTTTGAGACAAGCCTGGGCAACATAGTGAGACTCACTGCCTCCTGAGCCCTGGGAGCACAACACATTTTAATGTGGAAAATTGTTCATTTGAGCCATTGTTAAGTTGGGGACCATCTGTTCTGGAAGAGCTTTATCCTTTTATTCCATCTGGTTTACAATTCAGCCCCTTCCATCTCTTTCTTAGTCATGAGTCCAGGCCCAGTCCAGGCAGTATGGCCTCCCAGCCTCAGCGCCCCTTCTAGAGCTCTGATTTGGAACCTCAGGCAGCAATCATAGCAGCTCCTGGGGAAAGCACCTAACAGATCTTTCCTTCTTTGGTCCCTGCATAGGACTCTCTGGCTCCCAAGAAGCTCTCTTCTGCCCCCACCTGGCCATCAGCTGCCATTGCCCAGCTTCCCTACCCTTTTCCCCAGCCTCTCCAACTCTGTTCCAGATAGGCGCCCAGATTTGTTTGCTTGTTTATGTTTTAGTGGTGGGCATCAAACCCAGGACCTCACATATGCCAAACAAGCATTCTGCCATCGAGCTCCATCCTCAGTTCACAGCTTTAAAAAAAGTATTATTATTGTACATGCCACAAGTATGTGTATGGACAACTTTTGGGAGCTGTTTTCTCCTTCCACTGTGGGTTCTGAGGATTGAACTCAGGTTGTTAGGCTTTCCTGACAAGTCCTTTTACCTGCTGAGTCATTTCTCACTGCCTCCTCTCCCCTGAAGTTCACAAATTCTTGAGACCTTTCTCTTTGTGGCTCAACTTCTAACGCTTTGGCCCACACCTTCCTATTGCTGATATCTGGATAGTTCTAAGTCCTCCCTGTCCAACATAGTAACCATGAGCTACTGAGCACTTGAAATGTGGCCAGTCTGATAAGATGTACTGGGAGACTTTGCACAGGAAAAAAAAGATATTTTATAAATAGGTTTATACTGGATTACATGGGTGGAAAAATCTCGGGGCTGTATTGGGTTCATTAAAACACAATGAGACCATCTTTCTTCCACCTTTCTTCTTTTTGCAGTGCTCAGCTTCACTCACAGGCGATACAGCTCTGTATCATTGAACTACATTCTCAACCTTGGTTTTTGTATTTCTTTATTTTTCATTTTGAGGCAATGTCTCACTAAATTCCTTAGTCTGGCCTTGAACTAGTGACCCTCCTAACTCAGCCTCTTAAGTAGTTGACATTACAGATTTGCACCACCAGTCCTGACTTTTTTGGTACTTTTTAAAATGTGGCTACTAGCCACAATAAATGCATTGGTGTTTTTATGTGTGGAGACCCACACCTTGTAATACTCATGCACAGCTACACTTAAAACAAAACAAAAACAACTGTGGCCTCCAGTGCGGCAGCCATGGGACCTGAATGGATTATCACCAAACTGAGAAAAAGACCAGGGAACTCATGTGGTTTCTTGACTTTTATTGCCTCATACTCATGAGTCCCCTGGTCTTTTTTCAGTTCCATATAATCCATTCAAGTCCCATGGCTGCCCCACTGGTGGCCACAAACAACGTGACAAATGTCAAGCTAGGATGTGATCCCCATTACATTTGTATTAGACAATGCAGGCCCAGGTCTTCTCTCTTGTCACATAGCCCCACGTGTCATCATCCCATTGTGACCTATACATACACACACACACACACACACACACACACACACACACCCCTCCAACTTCACTGTTGCTTTCAAAAGCTCTAGAACAGATATCAACTCTTCCTGCAAATCCATACAAACCCATCTCATGACTCAGGCTCATTGCTGAACCCAGGCTGCTCAAGGTGACAGTCAGGAGTTGACCTCTCATGTTTCTTGTTGAATTGTACCCAAGTGGGAGCCCCAAGGACAGGTTCTGCAAGATCCAGAGTGAGCCAAGTGAGCAAGTGAGCCCACTGCTTAGTTCCACATTTGTAAAATGGACAGAAACCTACTTAGCATGGTGTTTTCCATGCTGAAATATTTTATAAATAAGTTTATACAGATTGCATGGGTGGAAAGAAAATTTGGGGGGATATATTGGGTTCATTAAAACCCAATGGTTCTGCAAATAAAAGTGCTTGCCACAAAAGCCTGACAACCCAAGTTCAATCCCCAGAACCCACAGTGGAAGGGGAAACCACAGCACAGTGCTAACAAGGTGGTTGTTCCGACATGTTAAGATCAGAAACCTGTCCCACAGTTTGGATCATTTATTTCTGTTCTCACTAAGCACTTCTTTGAAAATTATGATAGAATACTCTTGTCCTCTGTTTCTTTCCACATAATACGCCTGTGGGATAGAAAAAGGTCTGGGAGGCTGGGATGGAAGTCATTCGTGACCAGGCCACTGGAGGCAAGGCTGGGGAGGTCACAGTCACAAAGTATACTGCTGGCAGTGGGAAGCACAGTATGAACAGACCCAGCCACCAGGCTGCCATCCTGTGTAGGACTAAACCTTTCCATGGACACCAGGAAATGGCCACTGTGGCATTTGAGGCTGTGGCCACAGTGGTCCCAGAATATGTGTTCCCATTGAGATGCAAGTTTACAAACTGAGTGCAATCTCCAAACTAGAGAAAGAGGCAGGGATGGTGGACAGAAAAACCCAAGATTCCGGGTGTGGCACTGTCCATGTTGGAGCTGGGCAGCCAGGAAGGAAGCAAGTAAAATTCTGAAGTCCTGAAGAGGACCCACCCTGAGCTAGCCTCTATCCAAGAAGAATCAGGGTCCTGGGCCTGCAATAAAATGAGGAAAGATTTCTTTTGGTTCATGGCTTCAGGGGCTTCAAACCACAGTCACGTGGCTCCATCATGGCAGAGAGGGCGGGGGAGAGAGTGCTCTGTCCATCTCATGGCTTCGGAGAAGCAGAGAGACAAAGAAGAAGTTTGGGCACAAGGTGCACCCTTAAAGATACGTCCCCAGTGACCTACTTCCTCTAACCAGGAAGTAGAGGAAACTTTCTCTAATCTAACACATTCAGTGTGAACTCACCAAGAGATTAACCTACTGATGAAGTCAGTGCCCCCCCACCCCCGCCAGTGAGGGCGAGTCAGTCTCTCAATAGCACCACCAACTGGGACCAAGCCTTCAACACAGAAGTCTTTTTGAAGGGTACTTCATTTTGAATCCTAAGTGGTTTCTGCTTCTGACAGAAAGGAAACAACCGGGGTTTAGTAAAAGAAAGAGGATTTCAGAGCCTGAGCATCCTTAGGGCTGCTTCCTCCTCAGCACTTTTTTGTTGTTCCCTGAGAGGATGAGGAGGCACCCCCCAGGGATGTCTGCCCTTTGCTTTCATTAGCCTGAGCACATGTCTTAAACTTACCTCCCTCCTTTTTTCCCTTTTTTAAAAAACAGATAAAGCTAGGTGTGGTGGTGAATGCCTTTAGTCTTAGCACTCAGGAGGCAGAGGCAGGTAGATCTCTGTGAGTTTGAGGCCAGCCTGGTCTACATAACAGGTTTGGACAACATAATGAAATCCCAACTCAAAAACAAAAAAAAACAAAGCAAACCCCCAAAATAGAGATTTATTGATTTTATTTAAAATGTGTGTGTTCGTGTGTGTATACACTGAGGCCAGAAGAAGGTATCAGATCCTCTAGAGATGGATTTACAAGCTGTTGTAAGTGCCGGATGTGGATACTGGGAAGTAAACTCAGGTCCTCTGAAAGAGCAGCAATCACTCTTAGCTGCTGAAGCCATCTCTCCAGCTCCTTCCTTTATAAAAAACAAAACAAAACTGGGTCTCTGCCAGGCGTAGTGGTGCATGCATTTAATCCTAGCACTTGGGAGGCAGAGGCAGGCGGATCTCTGAGTTTGAGGTCAGCCTGGTCTACATAGCGAGTTCCAGGCCAGGCCAGCTGGGGCTACTGGGAGACCCTGTCTCAAAAAGACCAAAAAAAAAAAAAAAAAAAAATTGGCACTGATTAAAAAGACAAAACAAAAACAAAAAACAAAATCTGGGTCTCTTATATCAGGCTGGCTACTTGAAGTGGGGAATTTCCTGTCACAGTAAGTATTCAAAAATGGAATACTGGGATTCACTCCTATACTAGTAAGTACATAAGACACAATGAGGCTGGACTGACCAACCTCTTTCCTCCATCCCAACTCTCAGGTTCTGGAGCTTTGTCACAAACCTCTTAGCCAGTGGGGAAAGAGAGCTAGCCTAGAGGAGAAGGAAGAACCAAAGGTCATGGTGGCTGTCCTAATTTGCTTTCTGTTGCTGTGACAGAATACTTACCAAAACCAACTTGGAGAGAAAAGGGTTCATTTTAGCTTACAGGTTACAGTCCATCATCAGGAAAGACAGGGCAGGAACTCAAGGTAGGAACCTGGAGGCGGGAACTGAAGCTGAGACCACTGAAAACACTGCTTATTGCTGCTTCTGGCTTGCTCAACTAGCTTTCCTGTACAACCGAGGCCCACCTGCCTAGGATGATACCATCCACAGTGGGCCACACCCTCCTACATCAATTAGCAATCAAGAAGATGCCCTATACATATGCCCATGGAAAAAATTCCTCAACTGAAGTTCCCTCTTGGGTGTCTTTAGTTTGTGTCAAATTAACAGTGGGTTTTAGTTGCTCTTCTTCCTTTATTCTGGACAAGTCATAGTTAGTCCTTTGGGGACTCAATTTCCTTTTTTTTTTAAATTTTATTTATTTTTTATTTTATGTGTAAATGGGGTAGCAATACTTGCTCTCCCCCACCTTTTTTTTTTTTGTCTTTTTGAGACAGCATCTCCCTGTAGCCCCAGCTGGCCTAGAACTCACTATGTAGACCAGGCTGGCTTCAAACTCACAGAGATCTGCCTGCCTCTGCCACCCAAGTGCTGGGATTAATTAAAGGCGTGAACCACCATGCCTGGCTAAAATTATTTTTATTTTTGTGTGTGTGAGTGTATTGCCTCCATGTAGGTAGGTGCACCCATGTCATACAATGCTCATGGAAGTCAGAAGAGGGCGTCATATTCCCTGAAACTGGAGTTATGGATGGTAGTTAGCTGCCATGTGATTGCTGGGAATTGAACCCAGGTTCTCTGCAAGACCAGTCAGTGCTCTTACCCATTGAGCTATCTCTACAGCCCCAGAAGTGTTTTTTTTTTTTTTAAAAGAAGTGGTGGGGGCTAGAGATATGGCTCAGTGGTTAAGAACACTGGTTGTTCTTGCAGAAGACCCAGGTTCGAATCCCAGCACCCACATGGCAGCTAACAACTGTCTGTAACTCCAGTCCCAGGGCATCCTACAGCCTCTTCTGACTTCCGTGGGCATTGCAGGACACGGGTGCACTTACCTACATGCAGGCAATACATGCATACACATAAAATAAAAAATAATAAAATTTTTTTAAAAAGCAGTGATCACTTTTTTTTTAATGAATTTTATTTGTGAGCATGTATTTGTATGAGTGTTGTATGAGTGTAGATACACATGCATGTGGGTTCTGAGGATCAAACTCAGGTCAGCAGACTTGGTGACAAGCTCCTTTCCCTGCTGAGCCATTGCCTGAGCCCTGGCAGAAGTACTGGGAGGATGTCTGATTTATACATTAGCCCATGATCCTGTATACATAAACAGTATTATTAATGATCATGTCAGCTGTAATTCAATGAAGATACTAGTGGGCTGAAGAATGTGTCCCTGTGCACTACATTTCCACTACCTGTCTCCCTATAACCTCCGTTTATTTATTTATTTATTTTTTTAATTTTAAAATTTCTGAGATGGAGTCTCACGTAACCCAGGATTCCAGGCTGGCCTTCAACTCACTATGTCACTGAGGATGACCTTGAATTTTTGATCTTCCTGCCTCCAATTCCTAAATGCTGGGATTACAGGCATGTGCCACCATACCTGGTTTATGTGGTTCTGGGGAATCAAGCCCAGGACTTCATGCCAAGTAAGCAGTCTACTAACTGCCAACATCCCCAGCCCACCTTCCCTGTTATTCTTGCAGATTGATGCTGCCTCCTTAATTGCTGCCTCGGTAATGGCAGCCCCCTGTGCTTTGGCCCTCTCCAAGCTGGTCTACCCAGAGGTGGAAGAGTCCAAGTTCCGGAGTGAAGAAGGAGTGAAGCTGACCTATGGGTAAGTGCAGCAGGAGAGCCCTGGGAAAGAAAAGCAGTGCCGGGTAAGAGAGAGGTGGAGGGAAGTACTCACGGCTGTCTTCCACTGCTCTACAGAGCTTAGATGTAGATTCACATGCAAAAACACAGACTCTTGCTGAGGTGGCTAATGCTGGAAGATGGAGAGTTCAAGGCCAGCCTGGCTACTAGCAAGTTCCAGGCCAGCCTGGGCTCTATAGTGAGACCTGTCTCAACAAAAAGTAAAAAACCAACAACAAACACTGACTCCAGTTTTTACATCATAGTGTCCTATTTCTTTTTCTTTTTCTTTTTTTTGTCTTTTTGAGACAGGGTCTCCCTATAGCCCCAGCTGGACTGGAACTCACTCTGTAGACCCGGCTGGCGTAGCTCACAGAGACGTGCCTGCCTCTGCCTCCCAAGTGCTGGGATTAAAGGTGTGTGCTACCACACCTGGCTAGTGTCCCATTTCTTAGGAGTTAGAAACAAAGGTCAGATCAAGGTTCAGGAGTGGTTCAGGTCTTAGGGGTGTGACCTAGTGTGGGTCTATGTTGCTCCCAGCCACCTTCTCTGCATGCCAAAGCTCTGACCATCAGGTGGCAGCCTCACATTGACATGGGGAATGCCAGCCTCCTAAGAGGCCTTTGTCATGGTCTTAATCCACTGTTAACATCCAGTTCTTTAAAAATGTTGAAAAGAGGGGCTGGAGAGACAGTTCAGTGGTTAAGAACACTGACTGTTCTTGCAGAAAACCCGGGTTGAATCCTAGCATCCACGTGGCAGCTAACAACTGTCTATAACTCCAGTTGCAGTGGATCTGACAGCCTCTTCTGTCTTCCCCTGGGCATTGCACTTACCTACATGCAGGCAATACAAGCATACACATAAAATAAAAATAAAAATTTTTTTAAAAATCTTGAAAAGACGCTGAGTGTGGTGTCATGCACCTGTAATCCCAGCACTTGAGCGGTGGAGGGAAAAGATTAGTAATTCAAGGTCATGATGACAGAATAAATTCTAGGCCAGCTTGGGCTACATGAGGCCCTGTCTTAACACTCCCCACACTCAAATATTGAGAAGGCACCACTTTGGGCCAGTGTGCTTGGGGACAGAGTGGTTAACCCCAGCCTCAGACCACTTGAGGCTATGGAGCAGCTCTATCCTGTGGAAATAGACAGTGAACCACATTTATCATTTTACTCTCCTCTCCTTCCCTTGCCTCCCCTCCTCCGACTTCCCTTCTCTTTATTTTGAGACAAGGTCTCCTGTATCCCAGGCTGGTCTTAAACTGACTATGTACTGGACCTTCTGATTCTCTTGCCTCTCCTCCCTGAGTGCTAGGATTACAGACATGTGCTACCATACCCAATACATGTGGTGCTGGGTATCAAACCCAGGGCTTTCACATGCTAGGCAAGCACTCTACCAGCTGAGCTCCATCCTCAGCCTTTATTTTATATTTTCTATTAAACCTCTTTTTTTTTTTTTTTTGTCTTTTTGAGACAGGGTCTCCCTGTACCTGCAGATGGTCTGGAACTATGTAGACCAGGCTGGCCTTGAACTCATAGAGCTTGCCTCTGCCTCTGGAGTGCTGGGATTAAAGGCATGCACCACCACACCCAGCCATAAACATCTTTTTATTACATTTCATTTGTCTTTTTTTTTTTTTTTTTTGAGACAGTGTCTCTCTGTAGCCCCAGCTGCCCTGGAACTCACTATATAGACCAGGCTGGCCTTGAACTCACAGAGATCCACCTGCCTCTGCCTCCCAAGTGCTGGGATCAAAGCTGGGCACCACTGCACCCAGCTTGTTTATTTATTTGTGTGTATGTATGTGGGTACATATACACCACAGTGCTTGTAGAGGTCAGAGGACAATTTGTAGGATTTGGTTCTCTCCTTCCACCATGTGAGTTCCAAGGATCAAACTCAGGTCACTAACCTTGGCAGCAAGCTACTTTTACCTGCTTACTTTAAAAAAAAATAAAAAGAGGGGCTGGAGAGATGGCTTAGTGGTTAAGAGCACTAAATGCTCTTCCAGAGGGCCTAGGTTCGATTCCCAGCACCCACATGGCGGCTACAAGCCATCCTTAACTCCAGTTCCAGGGGAATCTGAAGCCCTCTTCTGACCGCCTCAGCATTGCATGACACGGGTGCACTTACCTACATGTAGGCAATACATGCATACACGTAAAATAAAAAATAATAATTTTTTTAAAGAGTTGAAAGAGATGCTGTTAATAAAATATTTTACTTAACCCAATATATCAAAAACATTTTAATGCATGTGATATAAAAATGACTAATAAAGCCGGGCGTGATGGCTCACGCCTTTAGTCCCAGCACTCGGGAGGCAGAGGCAGGCGGATCTCTGTGAATTCAAGGCCAGCCTGGTCTACATAGTGAGTTCCAGGACAGCTGGGGCTACAGGGAGACCCTGTCTCAAAAGACCAAAAAAAAAAAAAAAAAAAAAAGACTAATAAGATGTTTAAAAACATTTTAATTCATGATGTGATCAATAAAAATGACTAATAAGATATTTTCTTCTGGCTGGGATGAGGACTCATGCCTCCTTTAATCCCAGCGCTGGGAAGGCAAAGGCAGGTTAATCTCTGAGAGACCAAGGACAGCCTGGTCTACATACCAAGTTCCAGGCTACCTGGAGCTGCAGGGAGACCCCATCTCAAAACCAAATAAATAAATAAAATAAATTTATTTTCCTCCTCACCCCAAATCCTCAAAATCTGGGTGTATCTTGCATTTACAAGACAACTCAGTTGGAACCAGCCTGCTTTCAAGTGGCTGGAGCCACAATTAGCTGAGGACTCCTACCTTGCAATGTAGCCTAGAAACCTGGGTGTTCTCTTGGTTCTTTGATCACAGCTCCCTTCTCCCTCTTCCTCTCCCGTGTCTGTCTCTATCTCTGTCTCTGTCTCTCTCCTCTCTCCTCTCTGTCTTCCTCTCTACCCCTTCTCCCTCTCCTGCTCCTTCTCTCCCTCCCTCTCTCTTCTACCTTTCTCTGTCTCAGCAGGAAAACAGGAATCCTCTGATTCTGAAGCAGTCCTTGTCCAAGGTTCTTCTTTGAACCTATAGGGTGGGGACCTTGTTGCTTGTGGGGTCAGGCCAGTAATAACACTTGTTGATCCCAACGGCAGGGATGCTCAGAACCTCGTGGAAGCAGCCAGCGCTGGAGCTGCCATCTCTGTGAGGGTTGTTGCCAACATTGCTGCCAATCTGATTGCCTTCCTGGCTGTGCTAGCCTTCATCAACGCTGCTCTCTCCTGGCTGGGGGACATGGTGAACATTCAGGGACTCAGCTTTCAGGTGTGGCTGTGGTGGAGGGGATGGTCTTGGCGGGGAATAGATGGAGACCCAGCAGAACTCTCGGTCCTAGCCATTTCTCTTGACCTTGTACTCTCAGCTTATCTGCTCCTACATCCTGCGGCCTGTGGCCTTCTTGATGGGCGTGGCTTGGGAAGACTCTCCGGTGGTGGCAGAGCTGCTGGGCATCAAACTGTTTCTGAATGAGTTTGTGGCCTATCAGGAACTCTCTCAGTACAAGCAGCGCCGCCTGGCAGGGGCTGAGGAGTGGCTTGGAGACAAGAAACAGTGGATCTCAGTGAGTGTCCCCCATCCCTTCCCTTCAGTAGGGGGATGATGCAGCATTCCTGACAGACCCTGGCAGCTGCCTTGGTGGCTTGCTGGGACTGTCTGGAACACAATGAAGGAAACGACTGAGTGTCCAATGAGCTACAAGAGTGAGTGATAGCAGAGGCAGGTGGATCTCTGTGAGTTAGAGATCAGCCTGGTCTACACAGCTAGCTCCAGGTGAGCCAGAACTACACAGTAACACTCTGTCTCAAAAATAATAATAATGAAAAGAGTTCAAGAGCTAGGAGCCCCTTCTCCACAGTCCCCAGTGATATACTTGCTCAGTCTAAGGCCTAGCTTTTTCTGTTGACATTTATTCTAAAAATACCCAACAACAAAATTATAGAACTGTACAAAATGTCTTTTAAAAAGATTATAAAGTAATAAGCTAATATTGAGAATGAAAAAAATATGCATCATCTACAGCTATTGCTCTTTTATCCATTTTCTTCTTTTTTTGTGGTGGTGGTGTTTTAGACAGTCTCGTGTAGCTCAGGCTGACCAAAGACGCATCAGAGAATGGCTTTGAACTCCTTATCTTTCTGCCTCTACCTCTCAAGTGCTGCGTTTACAACCAACTTCTTTTATTCTTTTAAAGACAGAGTTTACACAGCTGTTATCCATGCTGTGTTTTGGATAGCTTTTCTTCTGATTATTATGATATATGTATCTTTTTAAAAATTTTAGTGCTAGAGATTGGACTGAGAGCCTTGTGCATGCTAGACAAGAGTACTACCATTAAGCTACATATAATGTATCTTAAACTTATGTATCTTAAAAAACAGCAAAGAATTTTTTGAGGCAGGATTTCACTATATATCCCTGGCTAGTCTGGAACTTGCTATATAGACTGGGCCTCAAACTCACAGAGATCCACCTGCTTCTATCTCCTGAGCACTGGGACTAATGGCATGGACTACCACACTCAATCACTAAGTTAAAAAATTTCTCTCTCTCTCTCTCTCTCTCTCTCTCTCTCTCTCTCTCTCTGAAGAACTTGCAGGAGTCACTTCTTTCCATGTGGGTTCTGGGAATGAACTCGGGTCGTTGAGTTTGGAGCAAGTGAGCTAACCCTCAGAGCCATCTCTCTCACTAATATTTATGTAGCTTAACATATTTATCAATTCTGTATGGTTGAGTTGTTCAAATGAGCTATTTGGCTATGTGACAATGCTGAAACGAATGTCTTTTTAAGTTTTTTAAAACTTTTATTTTATGTGTATGAGTGTATTGCCTGCACATACGTAAATGAATCTGTGTCATGCGATGCTGGTAGAGGTCAGAAGAGGGCGTCCAATCCCCTGGAACTGGAGTACAGATTGTTAGCCTCCATGTGGGTGCTGGGAACTGAACCTGGGTCCTTTGTAAGAGCAGCCAGTGCTCTTAACCTCTGAGCCATCTTTCTACTCTGAAACCAATGTCTTAGAATTTTCCTGTGTGTAGAACTTTTCCTGCCTCCTGGCATTTCCTCAGGAGCTTCCCCAGATGTGGGCCAGTAGAACCACATGCGCCAGCAGCAGCTTTCCTAACTAGCGTGGTCACTGCAATTGCCACCAGCTGTGTCCTTGGGTATCTATTTCACCAGAAGCAAAACAGCCCTGGAAGTCTGTATTTAAAAACAAGTTTGGGGGCTGGGAATGTAGCTCATTTGGTAGAGTGTTTGCCTAGTGTGTATGAAGCCCTGGGTTGGATCCCAACACCACATAAATTGGGTGTGGTGGCACAAGTCTGTAATCCCAGCACTCAGGAAGTGGAGGCAGGGGGATCATAAATTCAAAGCCATCCTTAGTTACATAGTGAGTTAGAGGCTGGCTTGGGGCTACTTAAGACCTGTCTCTTTAAAAAAAAAACAAAAAAACAAGCAAGCAAACCACAAAAATTGGGTAATTAGGACACAGGGTTAAAAGACAGCGAGAGTAGACTGTGTCCTTGAGGTAGTGAAGCGTGAGCTGAGCTGAGGTGGCATATGAAGCTGGCGAAGGAGGGTCATGAAAGGCTCCAAGGCCAAATAGAAGTGAGTTAATTAAGGTCAGGAAGCCTAGGTTATGGTATGGGGTGCTTTCGTCCAGCTGAGGGGAGCCCTCCTTGTTATCTGTATTTTCAGGTCAGAGCAGAAATCCTGACAACCTTTGCACTTTGCGGATTTGCCAACTTCAGCTCCATCGGCATCATGCTGGGAGGCTTGAGTGAGTCCTGAGACTCCACAGCACCACACCCAGGACTCATAGGGACAGTTGGGGTGGAGGGGATGGAGACAGTGAGCAGAGTAAGGGGGGACATAAGGAAATGAAGAACACCCTCACCCTGTTTCCTTTATGCTCCCCCATTTGCTTCCCAAATGTGAGTTCTCAGGCTCACTTCCACCTTCCGTGTCCCCTCCATGGTCAGCAGGGGAGAGGAAGGCTCTGCTTGGACATGGGCAGCAGCCTTCATCATGGTGCAATAAGCCTGGTTTACAGAGAATGAGACTGGGTATTGGAGAAGTGAAGTGATGGCCCAACTCACTAGCCAGGAAGTGGCTCGGTTTGTATTTAATCCTAGGTTTGCCAGACTCCAAATTTACCTTCTTAGATGGGCATAGTGGCACACATATAGTCCTAGCACACAGGAGGTTGAAATAGGAGAATCATGATTGCAAGGCTGGCCTGGGCTATATGAGAACTTGTCACAAAAAACAAAACAAACAAATAAACAACAAACAAAAAAACAAGTGCATGGTAGTGCATGCCGTTAATCCCAGCACTTGGGAGGCAGAGGCAGATGGATCTCTGTGAGTTCAAGGCCAGCCTGGTCTACACAGCGAGTTCCAGACCAGCTGGGACTGTAGGGAAACCCTGTCTCAAAAAGACCAAAAAACAAACTAGCAAGTAAGCAAACAAACAAATACGTCCTGGGCCAGTCCTGACTCCAGGTTGTCCTCTCTCTCTCACACACACACACACACACACACAAAGATACACACAAATCCAAGGGGCTAGGAGTAGTTTAGCTCAGTGGGTAGAGTGCTTGCTTAGCGTGTGAGAGGCCCTGTGTTTGAACTCCAATACCACATAAACTGGGCACGGTGGCTCATGTCTGAAATCCCAACACTCAGGAGATAGAGGCACAAAGATCAGGACTTTAAGGTCTATCATTCTTGGCTACATATAGAGTTCAAGGCCCGACTAGTCTATGTGAGACCCTGTCTCGTAAAAAAGAAAGAAAAAGCCCAACAAACAAACAAACACAGATTCTTTTCCTTCACTCTTGCTATGGTGGTGGTGGTGGGTATTACTATGCTTTGAGCCAAGCCAAAGGACAATGAAAGGCCACATTTGCCCCCCAGCCACACAGTGGAAGAGGGCAGGTGCCAGAGCTGCAGGAAGTGGGCAGAGGAGCAGGTAGCTTTCTTGGTCCTGAGTTCTCTTGCCTCCTTTGCAGCCTCTCTGGTCCCTCAGCGAAGGAGTGACTTCTCCAAGATTGTGATCCGGGCATTGATCACAGGTGCTTTCGTGTCCCTGGTCAATGCCTGTGTGGCAGGTTAGTACCAGCCCAGAAGGCTCAGAACTCTGAGCTCTGATATTCTAGCTGCCCCTATGCAAGACTGACCCCAGGGCTCAGCCACCAGTTGCTTCCCTCCACAGGGATACTGTATGTGCCGAGAGGGCCCGATGTGGACTGTGTGTCTCTACTGAACCAAACCCTCAGCAGCAGCAGCTTTGAAGTATACCAGTGCTGCCATCAGGTCTTCCAGAGGTAAGGGCCTGGACTGTGGACCATGGGGGATCTAGGAGCACCATTCATGAAGTGTGGCAGAACCAAGTGCCTGAGCGCTTTTGGCACTGGGGGCAGGATAAGGATGGCTGCAGTTGCTGTGGCCTGGGAAGAAGGAAGTGAAGGCTTGAAGAAGCTGGCAAGGAAAGGTGGACCAGCAATAGAGAATAATTTTTCCAGAGTTGCACAGCCCACTTGTGGCTAGCAGAGGCAGCCTGGACCTCCCACTGAACCTGCTGCTTTCTTTTCAGCACCAGCTCAGAGTTCAGCCCAGAGGCGCTAGAAAACTGCTGTCAGTTTTATAATCACACAATCTGCACATAGAGACTGAACATCTTCATGCCCTCAGAGGCCAGTCTTCCCAGAAAACAACAGTCTTCAATGAGGCCATATGGCTTATAACTGCTTCTGTTCTGCAATTGGGAAAGAGTTTGGCCATGAGTTGGGGATGTTGGTAAATGAAGGTTGCCTCCCACCCCTGGCCATATCTCTGCTTTCCAAGTCCTACCTCTCCAAGTATGAGCTCCTAGGGTCTCCATTGCCCCCTCTCTCTCCATGTGCCAGCATTCTGGCCTGCTCTAGTCCTCCCTCTCTGGGATTCTCATGTTCACCTGTCCAACGTCTCCTCCCATCCCTCATCCCTCCTTGTGTCAGACTCCCCTGCTCCCTTCCAAGCACTAGACTCTGTGGCCTCCCCAAGAAGCTGTCCCTGGAGACAGCTTCCTTCACTCACTTCCTCAGCATGCTTCCCAAACTGGTGTCCTGCAGGATATTGTTCCAGCAGGTGAGCCATTCAGAGGGGTCAGTGATCTACCAGGTTTGGAATATACTGAACTAAATAAAGTTAGACAGGGTTGTTTGTTTGTTTGTTTTTGAGGCAGGGTCTCATGTAGCTTATGTTGGCCTTGAGCTTACTATGTAGCTGAGTATGACCTTAAATTCTCAATTCTCCTGCTATCACCTCCTGAATGTTGGAATTATAGGTGTGTACCACCATACCTGGCCCATAAGAAGTTTTTATTTGGGCTGTCAAAATAGTTCAGTGGGTAAAGGCAGCTGCCACAAAGCCTGACAACCTGAATCTCATCACTGAGACCCAAATGGTGGAAGGAGAGAATAATTTCTGCAAATTGTCCTCTGAGCGCCACTTCTGTGCATGGCACATGCCATCATCTGCCCCCTCCCCAAATTAAAAAAAATAATAAAGTGACTTTAAAAATTATTATTTATTACTGTATGTGTGTGAGAATATGGGCTTGCCACTGTGCATGTGTGGAGATCAGAAGACAACTTTTGAGACTTGGTTCTCTCACCTTGTATCCTGAGGGGCACTTATTCCTCTGGGTCAGGTCCTGCTGTGGAGAGTTAGCCCTGGAGGGAGGTGCATTGGTGTCTTAGTGGCATTGGTATCTTAGTGGCTATGGTGAGGCAGAAAAAATGGCCTTGAGAGGGGGTGTTTACCGACCTGGGGCTAGACTGTGGGCCCACAAGGTGTAGGTGAAAGCTAATGGAGACTTGGGCAGAGTGCAGAAGTGATCTGGACCAGCGGCCACTGAGCCACAGAGCGGAATGGGGTGCCAGGTATTTGCCTTTGTAAGTTATTCTATTTCCCCTACCCAGGTTATAAACTATGAAAAATTCAGATAAGGATGTGCTATATGGTTTGTCTAACAGCACCAGGAGCAAGGGACCCTAAGAGAACTCAGGCGACAAATTGGCCCACCTGGCAGGATGACAGGGCTCGGAGCCACAAACAGTGGGAATTAGGAAAAGCAAGGGAGCTAATGGCAGCACTGATATGGATCTTACAATGGATTATAAAATATGTAACTGGGGTTGGGGATTTAGCTCAGTGGTAGAGAGAGCGCTTGCCTAGCAAGCGCAAAGCCCTGGGTTTGGTCCTCAGCTCCAGAAAAAAAAAAAAAAAAGACAAAATAACAAAAAAAGAGCAAAATATATAACTAAAAAGGAGCCGGCCATGCAGAACTGCGGGCCACAGCTGTGTTGTAAACGTGGGAAAATAGCCCAGTTGCGGGTATATGAAAATTTATTAAAGGTTATAGAAAGGCTAGAAAACTTTTACAAGCCTGGGACAGAAGCAGAGAACCCAAAGAGGGGGCGTGGCCACTTTGCATAATAAAAGATTTGCCCAAGGCAGGGGAAGCTGAAAAGGCTACGGAGGTGCTGGCAGATCCAGCTGCAGAACTTGAGAGAGAGAAAGAAATAAAACCAAAACCGGACATTTTAACTTGTGTAAGGTCCAAGGACTCTGGAAAAAAGACAAATAATAATGAAAAAGGAAACGACCTAAAAATGAAAGTAGCTAAATCTGCCCCTCAGATTCAACCTTTGATACAAAAAGGAAAAAAGAAGCTAGCAGTGCTGTAGCTGGGAAATATTCCACACTGGAACTGTTAAAACTAGGAGAAACTTCCAAGCAAGCAATCAAAGAGCCCCTCACCACATGGCTTGTGAGGGGACATGGGAGCAAATAACTTCAGTCTAAGTCCTTCAGAAGCTTCACAGCTGAGTTATATAACCACCCATCCATCCTTGCAATATAGATTCTTCAACCTAGGCCAATGCAGAGGTGAACAGTCCTTAATGGGATGGCTGGTGGAAGGCATTAAAGATACACGGTCATCACCAAGGGGAACTCCCATGGTTAACGGGCTGGAGGACCATAAAGGAGGGACAGGCATTAGTGAGAGAACTAGGTATGAGAAAAGCAATATATGATACCCAGTTCACTGGGCCAGATAAGACTGTGTTCATCAGAGATATAAAGGAAAGCTTAATTCAACTGGGACCTTGAGAATGGTATGGACCTCTAATGGTTTTGTTAAGCCCTTTAATGGCACAGGATCTTTGTACAGTGAGAGAGGCTTTAGCAGATCTAAATAATTCTGACCAGCATGTAAAACGTGTCTGAGGAATAACAGAACAACCTACAAGAGATCTGGAAAAAACAGACAGAAGAAATGGTGTGTTTGGATTACTCAAAGACAAATGTGGCAAGACTTATGTTGAGCCCAAATTCCCAGAAAAAAAAATTGATAGAAAACCAAATTTGGTACTAAGGAGTTTCTGGAAGGCTTTAAAACCAGAATAACAGTTTACAAAAGGCATTCAAAGGCTAAAAACTGTCCCGGGGTGGTTAAGAATCCCCAAAGATTAAATAAGGTACATTTCTCTCCTGATAAAGGCTATACTAGGGGTGGAAACAGTTTTTCCCACACAGGCCTCCCCCCAGTAGCCAGGTATGGTCAACGGAGAGATGACAGATATGGCTGCTGTCTGAAGGCAGACCCAGGGCCTGCCTGACTCAGGGAACCAACAGGTACAGCGGGAACAAGAGAAAACCCCTGCCTCCTTAGCCCAGTGAGAGATCAGACAACTGGAGCCAACACTTTAAGTGTATCAAGGATAAAAGAACACAAAGAGACTCCATGCAAGATCCCCAGAATGCAGAATAACTCCCAAGGGATAACTAAAGATAGTAAAGAACTAACCAAATTGCCTCTTATCCTTGCCTAACAAAGCTCTATGCTCTATGGAGAAAACAGTTAATACAAATGGATAAAACTTTTCCATGCTGTGTTAGACCTTGTCTATGATTGATTCAATATATGATATTAACCTTCCTTCAAGTGTTTTACAGATGTGAAACCCATTTGAAAGATACCTGAAGAAACAAAGGCCAGCTATAGCTGTAAGATTCTTGGGAGTTTTATGGTTGGGTAAGATAAAAACAGAGTTTCCCAAACTAAGAAAATCTACAGTACTAGGGGTGGGTTGCCCCCTATGAGCTATTGGTCAGAGAGAGATCCTAGAGGTCCACAAATTCACCAAGGCTATTCCCACTAATGTGGTTGTACACTAGAAAGTCGGTAAGGCCATGTTGCTGAAGACACTGCATGACGTGAACGTGGGAGGAAAAGAAAAGATGGAACTAAGACAAAAACTCCATGCCACTGGTTGGATGATGTTCATAGTACCAGAAGGCACTATGCAGATGGTTGGGGAAGAAAGGATCCCCTACAATTCTATTCAACAATGGACCCGTGTGCTGCACACTATGGACATACCAAGCAATGCCTCCAAGTACAATAATGGCTCAACTAACATACATACAACTGACAAATTTCTAATTGGATAAGGCCCGCTTCTAGGGGTGGAACACACATCTGGTGCTGTAGACCAGGCCAACCCCCTAGTGGGGAAGCCATTACAAATATACTGTTTAATGAATATAGTACACCTACTGGGATATCCTCTAGGCATTTGTATTTACATTCATGTTTGTTTAGATGTGTCTACTTCCTTCCATTTGTCTTTATAGTAGAAGAAACACCACTGAGAGAGAACAATGGCCACGCCTTGAAGACGAATAATGGGGCGGCCCAAGAAGTCATTATCTCACCATGAAACAAGAGAGACCGCCCTACATCTGTCACCCCCTCCAAGGCTCAGGGACCTTAGCAGAAGATTGGAGAGAGATTATAAGAGCCAAAGGAAGGGGTGGAGTGTGTCCTGAGGGGCACTTATTCCTCTGAGGGGCAGGGCCTCCTGTGGAGAATTGGCTGTGGAGAATTAGCTATGGAGCGGGAGCTCAGGAGAGTTAGCCATGGAGAGAGGGGCTTTGACACAACCTTGGCAGCAGCAGGGCAGAAAAAATGGCCCCCAAATCTTGCCCTCGTGAACTTGAAGAGGGGGCATTTATTGACCTGGGGCAAGACCTGGGACATTTATTGACCTGCCGGCCCACAAGGCGTGGGCGAAAGCCATTGGAGAATGTGGGCTGGGCACAGAAGCGATCTGGAACAGCAGGCCGCTGAGCCACAGAGTGGAATGGGGCACCAAGTGATTGCCTTTGTAAGTTACTCTATTTCCCCTACCTAGGATATAAACTATGAAAAATTCAGATAAAGATGTGTTATACGGTTTGTCTAATAGTGCCAGGAGCAAGGGACCCTAAGAGAATCGGGTGACACACCTTTATGTGGATTGAACTCAGGTTGTCAGGCTTGTACAGCAGGCACTTTACTCATTGAGCCATCTCACCAGCCCAAACATTTTTTTTTTTTATTGAAGCATCTTTTTGTTGAAGTTTCATAGAATACAATTGGGGAAATATTATCTCATATTCAAACTGTGTTGTTTTTCCTAATTTTGCTACTAGCAGCTGTTTGTACAGTGCTGACTGCCAGGAACTACTCTTACAGGCTTGTACAGCAGGCACTTTACTCATTGAGCCATCTCACCAGCCCAAACATTTTTTTTTTTTATTGAAGCATCTTTTTGTTGAAGTTTCATAGAATACAATTGGGGAAATATTATCTCATATTCAAACTGTGTTGTTTTTCCTAATTTTGCTACTAGCAGCTGTTTGTACAGTGCTGACTGCCAGGAACTACTCTTAACTCTTA